CCTCCTCCGAGGCGCACGATTCTCTTTGTTGCCAGGCGCCTTGGCCTGTGTGAATGAACTAAAAAAGAGGGAAAATACTCGCAAGAAACTGCAATTTCCATATCAAATTTATGCGAATTTCGTAGGGTGATCTGTCTGTGCACTCGAATTAATTTAATGGACTGGTAATTGTCAAAATGTTCCTAGAGTATAGTACAGTCTTGCCTTGATAAACAGTCACCCAAAAGCCGTTCGATTGGTAGTACCTTGAGCACTTGTTAACTGGGCTTCCAGTTTAATTTTAGATTATGTTTTTTGTACTTTGGATCACTACTTTAATCGGTTGCCTAACAGCCAGCCTGTGCCTCTGATTAGGGTCTAAAGTACTCATCTCTGTTGAGCAAATATAGTATTACCATAGTGAAAAACTTGAATTAGAAACTCAAATTTCTTATCAATGTTATGAAATCTGTTACTCTACAGAAAATATATTAATATATATATTACATTATTTTTTCTTTGTATATAGCTATTTTTATAATAGAAACCTCACCTTTGTGGTCTTTCAAAGTGCACTTTGTTTTGTTTTCGTTAATTTTTTATGACTTTGTTTATATCTTCGTGAACTGGATTTTTAGCAGACTGGTTATCGGTATACAAAGTGTATGGCAAAGTGATCAAAATTGAGATCTGAACATTTCAATATATTTGTATTTTTAATTCTAATGTCGAAATTTATTTAAATTTTATATGGAAATAATAAACTTTCGTAACTTGTTTGTTTAGCTTTGCCATTCTAACTGGACTTTTCAGATCTTAACTCATTTAATTGAATTTATGAATAATTAAAAAGTGTAGTATAAAACACAATGAAATGATTTCATATTGAACTCTCCATAATATGAGGTTTACGTCAAGCAGTCGTACAATTTATTGATCCTTTATTGATCCGGTATCCCTAATGCCATTATATTGTGTAAGCCGCGCTAATTATTCTCCTTTATTTATAATTTTTTTTTAAAGATAATCTCTTGCACCATCTGAATATGGTAATTTCGTATAATAAATTTGTCATTTAATTTCCGCATTAAAAGTTGCAACCATCCTCTGTACATATGTGCACATATATCCAGTTTATTAATACGTTAATTTACGCAAATACGTGTTCATTTGAGGTTTAATAAATAACAATGTTTCACCCCAGCTGGCAACACTTAGTCACCCGGAATGTACAATACCTCTCTATCTCTCGCCATGACCCATTATTTCAATTAACTGGTAAACACTATACTATACTTCTGTTCACTTATCGAGAACGTCCCCTCGGACTACTACTACATTATTCTCTATCAAAGTGCAGTCCTCTATCTCTGAATCTGTGGGATGTACGAGTACCCGAGTATGTTACCCTGGCCAAACAATGACAAAAGGCATTTGGAAAATTGTCTGTAAACGGGCCATTAATTTATTTACCAAGCTACAACAATGAAAAGGAACCAGAAGTGTCTTGGGGGGGTCCGAAGATAGTTCTGTTTTGGTTATCTGATTGTTTTGCCCATCAAGCCGTTCAATTAGCTTACGAAGAAACCCCCCTGCCATTCAAAATTAGGCGAGAAATTTTGGTGTTTCTTGCCGACTGCCGGCGGAAGTCTTTCCCGGTCTGTTATTAGTTGATTCCCTTTATTATCCATGTAATCTGTAAGAATTTGTGGTCATACATAGCCATTAATTATAATTGGGGTTTATTTGAACGTTATTAGACCTGTTGACGATTCAAGCATGAAGCATGAGGATATTTGGAATTTCTATTATTTCAATTTTACTTTGTAATAAAGTTATTATTTTTGTATATCTCTTTCTGTTGATTAATGGCTTACACTGGGGAATTCTCGAGAATTGTAAAATTCATTTGCATGCATCTTACATTCATTGAGATTTTCTAGAAAACCTTTAAGCTCTCCCCTCTCTTACAACCAAATGTGTTAAGCCCCGGAGTTCTATAACATTTTCTACCTTCCTTTCAACATTCCTTCCTTCGTTTGTCTTTATCAGTGAAGCTCGTAGCTCGCAGAAAATTCCACTCCCCAACGATCCGACAATGTAAATATTTGTACTCAGATTATATTACAATACAAGCATGTAATAGTATAAAGACATACATTTTATATAGATGTACGTATAAATGCGTGTGTATATTTTCAATTTTGATTGATATTCAGGGCGCCTTCTGACGTAGATGACCAATTGTCAAATGATAGCAGTCTTACAGATTGCTTGTTGGATTGTTGTAGCTGTATACAGACGAGTGTATGCATATGTATACTTTACTATATACTAGTATGCTCTATATAAATGCTCTACTTTATCAATTTTTGCCTTCTATCTTCACTTCTTCCTATCGGCATTGGTAATCAATCAGAGGCACACACACAGAGGCCCGGCAACAGCAACGAGCCCTCTCTATGAGATGATGGACTTTTCGAGTACCAAAATGGAATAGTTGAGCTGAGTTTTTGGCAGGGGCGTGGTTCGGTTCTGGTTGCTGCCAGAGCGTGTTTGAATTTGTATTAATGATACTTTTAATTGGCGTGTGGAAATATTTCTTAATTAAAGACTGACTTATGACTCGCGAACCGAGGGAAATACTCGAAAGTACGTACAGGGTTGGGTTTCAATAAATATTGCACGAGCACTCATACCTCTCAGTGAGTGGTATATAGTATAAAAATATCTTTAGCAAACTATAGCTATGCCAATGCCCTAGAAGTGGATTCTACAGTGCGTTTCAAAAGTTTAATAGGGTTGGAAGAGGGCTCCTTTTAGATACTCAAAAAAGTACATACTCGTACATTTATCTAGTATTAGTTTTGGGTAAAGCTAAGCAGGCTATTAAGTGTGCCACCTTATAGATGATTACAACGAAACGCACTGTATATCGCATGTTTACGCCAGCCTCCGCCATGCCACTCCCCCCTCTAGACATAAACAATTGAGGCCGACTGTGCAAACACAATAAAAACTGATGATAGACTTTGATGATGTTGATATTGATGTCGGAGGCGGATATCTCTATCTCAAATTCTCCCCCTCGATCCCTCGATCACGTGCTGGACAGAAAATGCAGTGTGAAAATAAATGCTAATGTTCGTCGCCCACTAACAAAAGCAGATCGATCTCAAATTACCTCTGCCTCGACATCTCGACGATTCGCATGGATCACACACGAACACGAACAACAATAGTAACAGCAATTCCTACACTACCTCAAAAGCAGAGTAAACAATATATAAGCTAAATAAATAACAATCAAAAATAAGCCTGGTAAAACGCTTCACAAAAGGCGGCAACTTGTTAAATAAACTAATTAATTAAATAAAGGGTTTTTAAATATTTTTTTTGTCGGTTGTATGTGATGTATTATAGCTACTACTCATAGATGAGTAATTCGAATAGATTTAGATAACGAGTGTGAGAATAAAGATATATGTATATCTCTATTAATATATTTAATAACTCACGTTTGGCTCTCTTTGTTTTAATTCACCAAATCTATTAAATTTGTTGCGTTTCTCAAAGTTGAGCTGAATTTAATGCTTGAGATTATGATAAATTATCATTAAAAATCTCTTTCGGAAAATGAATTATCATTTATTTAAATAGAAAACAAGGATAATCTCTATATTTTACGATGAATAAAATCAAATTAATATTGGGCTATTGAATGCAAGAAAGACAAAATCGAAAATAATTGGTGTACTATGATACATAGATACATATGTACTCATGTATGTACATATATTCAGGAGACGGATTTACTAAGCAATTAAATATTTATCTTCTTTGAGAAGGTTTTCTTTAAAAATCTTCACAACTCATCCCTCAGCATAAATCATATTCCTTATCCAGTCCGTGCAACCTCTTCAAATATTAAAAAAAAAACATTTTCACTTTGTGTCATCAAGTCAATAACCTCTTTAGAGGTTGCATGCAACACGCAACAGATCCATTTCAACAGCTTTTTGTGCCTCTATCAGCCCCTGCCACATGTCTCCTTTCCCCCCGGCGAGGCACCAAAGTAATGTTTACATATTGTTCGAGTATTTTTTGTATGCTTACACCATTGACATTGACATTGGACATAGTCTGTTTGTTTCTTGTGTGTATAGTCCGATCCAATCTATAATTAGTGGGTGCTTTCAGTTTTATATATATGTTTATCTGATATATATTATAGATACACCAATGTTAAAGGCAACACAACACGTGTGTTGAGGGTGTGTGCTGCGGCTCTGTTATTATATTTGTCTGTGGATTACAGGGGCTTGATTGATTGTAACTTTTATTTCCGATAAGCAGCTTCATAGGAATCATTGATTGGGACGTGCCTCCTGCCAACGCACCATGAAAGGGGTACCTATGTACACATGTGTATCTATATATTTTTTATTCTATTTGGAGAACTAACTTACGCATAGATTACCTAACAAAATAGTATACTATAATGGCAGGGGGCTATGACGCTCAGAGTGGAATAGAAGCCGACTGTCGTCATTAATATGCGCCTCTGAAATATCCCCCACCCCATGAGTATTCCTTCAGTTGACGAGTTTTCTAGCACAACTCAGGCATACTCATTCCGTTTCATTCTATTTTATTTCCATAGTATTACTGCAAAACGTTCTTTTTTCCGCCAAAGAGAAATTATATCACGCGCCTGATTTCCATATGCTTCTTGATTTATTTTTGCTGCGCTGTGGTTTGCTGTGTGTTCGATTCAAATGATTTTCAATTGGTTAGGTTTGAGCTTCAATGTGTGGTATGCTGATGGATGGCATTTTAATGATGCGTGTACGATGACAATCGATTGGTCGGGTTCGGAGTTCAGATTACTTTTGGGTACGTCATGGCAACTAGTGGTTTGGTTCTGTTTTCTTATATACATACCTAGTATAAATACTTTAAGGGGCTCGCTCTTGAACATTTTTATTGATCTATTTGTCTTGTATTCTATTTACCTACAGATCTATCTACCAGCAGACATTAAAATGGAAGTGTAAGTATTGCGACTTGTATATAGTAATTGATATGGTGTGATAGATAGACTGTTATGATTGATTCAGGAAAATAATAAGTTAAAAGTAAGCTTGAAGTAATATTTGATGAGGTTTATAAACCTCCTGTGCTCCAGAATGTAAATCCATATATCCATAGATAGAAGAAAGCTGCATATTCAAAATCACAATCAATCAAAATAAGTCGGGGGGGCCCCCCCTTCCCCCTTTTTTTTTCCGGGCCCCCCCCCCCCCCCCCCTTTTTTTTTTTTTTTTTTTTTTCTCCCCTCCTTTCTTTCCTCCCCCCCCCCCCCCCCCCTTTCCCCCCCCCCCCCCCCCCCCCCCCCCCCCCCCCCCCCCCCCCCCCCCCCCCGCCCCGGTCTTCCCCCCCCCCCCCCTCTCCCCCTCCCCCCCCTCCTTCCCTTCCCTTTTTTTTTCGGGGCTTTTTCTTGCCCCCCCCCCCCCCTTTCCCCCTTCTCCCCCCCCCCCTTTCCCCCTTCCCTTTTTTTTTTTTTTTTTTCCCCCCTTTTTTTTTTTTTTTTTTTTTTTTTTTTTTTATTTTTTTTTTTTGTTTTTTTTAGGGGGGGTTTTTTTTTTTTTTTTCCTTTTTTTTTTTTTCTTTTTTTTTTTTTTCCCCCTTTTTCCCCCCCCCCCCCCCCCCCCCCCCCCCCCCCCCCCCCCCCCCCTTTCTCCCTTTTCTTTCTTTTTTTTTTTTTTTTTTTTTTTCCCCCCCCCCCCCCCCCCCCCCCCCCCCCCCCCCCTTTTTTTTTCCCTTTTTTTTTCCCTTCCCCCCTTTTTTCCCCTTTCCTCTTTCCCTTTTTTTTTTTTTTTTTTTTTTTTTTTTTTTCCTTTCCTTTTTTTTTTTTTTTTTTTTTTTTTTTTTTTTTTTTTTTCTTTTTTTTTTTTTCCCTTTTTTTTTTTCCCCCCCCCTTTTCTCCCCGCTTTTTTTTTTTTTTTTTTTTTTTTTTTTTTTTTTTTTTTTTTTTTTTTTTTTTTTTTTTTTTTTTTTTTTTTTTTTTTTTTTTTTTCTTTTTTTTTTTTTTTCCCCCCCTTTCTTTTTTTTTTTTGGGGGCCTTTCTTCCCTTTTTTTTTCCCCCCCCCCCCCCCCTTCTTTCTTTTTTCTTTTTTTTTTTTTTTTTTTCCTTCTTTCCCCCCCCTTTTTTTTCTCCCCCCTTTTTTTTTTTTTTTTTTTTTTTTTTTTTTTTTTTAAAATTAAAAAATTAGATAAATATAGGCCCGGGACGTGTACCTAAAATCTTTTTAAATCAGCTCTAATTTATATATTATTGCCTGTACTAATCCACAGTGAAATCGGTGAACCGCCACAGCCACCAGTGAAATGTTCCAACTTCTTCAGCAATCACTGGAAGGGCCTTGTGGTCTTTTTGGTTCCTCTGCTTTGCCTGCCCATAATGCTGCTGAACAATACACCCGTAAGTTGATTTCCCACATTGATTCGAAATGAAATGTAAGTCTAAAAAATTGGTCTTACTCTTTCAGGAATATCGCTGCATGTACCTGCTATTGGTGATGGCCGTGTTTTGGGTTACAGAAGCCCTGCCACTCTATGTGACCTCAATGATACCCATTGTAGCGTTCCCTGTGATGGGAATTATGGTGAGACTGCGAAACTGCGTAGTTATAAATAATTACTGACTAAACTAAATGCGTGTTTGGTTCCTATATAGAGCTCCGATCAGACCTGCCGTTTGTACTTTAAAGACACGCTGGTCATGTTCATGGGTGGCATTATGGTGGCCCTGGCCGTGGAATACTGTAATCTGCACAAGCGCCTCGCGTTGAGGGTAATCCAGATCGTGGGCTGCAGTCCCCGAAGATTACACTTTGGCCTGATTATGGTTACTATGTTCCTGTCTATGTGGATCTCGAACGCCGCCTGCACGGCTATGATGTGTCCGATTATTCAGGCTGTGCTGGAGGAGCTGCAGGCCCAGGGCGTCTGCAAGATCAACCACGAACCCCAGTATCAAATGGTCGGCGGCAACAAGAACAACAACGAGGATGAGTGAGTAACCTAACGGAAAAGATCACTTTGATTATTATACTAATTCCTGATTCCTAATTGCCACCCCCCCACCAGGCCACCATATCCCACCAAGATCACTCTGTGCTACTATCTGGGCATTGCCTACGCCTCATCGCTGGGCGGCTGTGGAACCATCATTGGCACTGCCACCAATCTCACTTTCAAGGGCATCTACGAGTCGCGTTTCCCCACCTCTACCGAACAGATGGACTTCCCCACATTCATGTTCTACTCCGTCCCATCGATGTTGATCTACACATTCCTGACATTCATCTTCCTGCAGTGGCACTTTATGGGCCTGTTCCGACCCAAGAGCAAGGAGGCTCAGGAAGTGCAGTTGGGCAAGGATGGCGCCGATGTGGCCAAGAAGGTGATCGACCAGCGTTACAAGGAGTTGGGCCCCATGAGCATCCACGAGATTCAAGTGATGATTCTGTTCATCTTCATGGTCATCATGTACTTCACCCGCAAGCCTGGCATCTTCCTAGGCTGGGCCGATTGGCTGAACACCAAGTGAGTGCGACAACTGCCATTGACTTACCGGTGGAGCCATACTAATACGTCTCTATTTGATCCGACTCTTTCAGGGACATTCGAAACTCTATGCCAACTATTTTCGTCGTCATTATGTGCTTCATTCTGCCGGCCAACTATGCTTTCCTGCGATACTGCTCGAGGCGTGGTGGTCCAGTGCCCACGGGTCCGACTCCCTCTCTGATTACCTGGAAGTTCATCCAGACTAAGGTGCCATGGGGCCTGGTGTTCCTTTTGGGCGGTGGCTTTGCCCTGGCCGAGGGCAGCAAAGTGAGCGGCATGGCCAAGCTGATTGGCAACGCCCTGATTGGCCTGAAGGTCTTGCCAAATGCTGTACTCCTGCTGGTGGTCATCCTGGTTGCTGTTGTGCTCACGGCCTTCAGTTCCAATGTGGCTATTGCCAACATTATTATTCCCGTACTGGCGGAGATGGTGAGTTGATCAGCTTCATTACTTTTTGGATTACATTACTGATATGTAATTTTACGACTCTCCTTGCAGTCTCTGGCCATTGAGATTCATCCGCTGTATCTGATTCTGCCCGCTGGCCTGGCCTGCAGCATGGCCTTCCACCTGCCAGTGAGCACGCCGCCCAATGCTCTTGTGGCCGGCTATGCCAACATTAGAACAAAGGACATGGCCATTGCTGGAATCGGCCCAACCATTATCACCATCATTATCCTGTTTATCTTCTGTCAAACCTGGGGACTGGTTGTCTACCCCAACCTCAACACGTTCCCAGAGTGGGCGCGTCTCGCGGCAGAAGCAGCTGTCAACAAGACACACTAGTTAGTTAGTCCTTAGTCCTAGAAACACATTAAACACAAACCGAAAAGTTAGGGAATTTTACAAGAATAGTGCCTTTTGTTGAAAACAACAGAGAGAGTGAACAGAGCAGAGAAGAGAATATGTTTAACGAGAAATGCATTTCTGATTTGAGAACTTTTGATACAAATCATTGATTTTGTCTAGCAAAACGTGTAACATACAAATGTCAGGTGAGAGCGTTAGCAATATTGTTGAAAAACGATGAGCCAGGGTGGCAAGAGCCCCAGCGCTTTGCTCACAAAACTCAGCTAAATATTTAAATACAAATTAATGTTACTTAATTGTTGCATTTAGTAAGCAAAACGGAGGAAAGCATCATGAGAAACTACATTTAATGACCGACGCAGCCGGAGCAGCGGTAGTTTGCTTTTATTTTTAATTACTAGACTGAGACGTACATATTCAAACATGTTTTGCCATTAATCAACAATTTTTGTAATGAACATCTTACTCAATATTTGATTGCAAACCAAAATAAGCACACAAATAGCCTTAGTTTAAGTTTAAATAATACTGTGTAAATTTTCAAACGATTTATGTTGTATATAGTTTTTAAATGAAATCGAAGTAATAATAAAAAGCTCAACCAATAAATTAGGATGATTACTGTTAATTCAAAATTTTGATCTCGATACTACACCACACTTTAATTGTGAGAGACCAGATTTAAAAACCTGGGGGGAAAACCATGAGGTATTACATATGTATATACCACAAAGGAAGAATAGGTAAAAAACATGTCAATCTAAGAAAATATTCAATATTAATGTTTCAAAGCCATATTGGAAAATAGATATGTATAGGGTATAGGGTGTACTAGTAGTAAACAAATGTCCATGCTTGGTTACTAGAAAACGGGTTACGTCTTTGACCTTTTTAACTTAAACCCAGAGGGCCCTTCCTAGCTTGTAATTTTAAGCCGATTATCAAAATTGAGAATTATTATTTCTGATCAACAAAATATAACGTTATTCCATGATCAACCAGAGGAGATGATCGCTAAAATTATGTAACTTGAACAATTTAAGCGCAGTTCAGGTGAAAGGTAAGTCAAGAGAAAGGATAGGACGGATCTACAAGATGAATTTACAAACGCGGTTTCACTCAATGTGTTAAACTATTTAAATAGGGCGGGTTTAAGTGGGCTAGGCCACTAACCATACAGTATATACAGTATACAGTATAGTATACGCAGTATAGTAAAGCTCTAACCATACAGTATATATGTAGATGTGGCAGGTCATAACTCTGGTAACTCTGGGAAGGGGCGCTCATCAAGACGGACAGACAGACAGACAGACAGACAGACATGGCTATATCGACTCGGCTATTGATGCTGATCATGAATATATATATGGGATCGGAAACGTTTCCTTATCTGCGTTTCACACATCCAATTTTACCACAAATCTAATATACCCCTTAACTCTTTTTGAGTATTGGAATAAAAACCAATTTCGGTTCAAGCGGCAAAAAATTTTAGAGCCCACACAAGCACAGTATGTGAGAATACACACACATTTACGTAAACTGAAATCTCAAGCAAAGTCGGTTCGGCAGCTAAAAATTATTCTATGCATACAATCATATATTTTGGAGTGTACACGTACACAACACATGCATGCTTGCTGCCAGTCGGCTCGTGTGACGTCATTAGCCGAACGCGGCCATTCCCAAAGCCGAAGATCTGGGAACGTACGCTGCAAACTCAGCTGCGCCCATTTCGTTGTATGAACTGGCACAACTTTATACTGTATGGTTAGTGGTACTAGGCTTTAGTGGCTAGGCTCTTTGTCTTTCTCGGTATATTTACGGTATATTTTTAAAATAAGAAGGTATATTTCTGAGGGTCAGGAGGTATATTTTATGGAAAATCGCGGTCACACTGGTTGCGTACCGCTTTTCAGCCATCTTGTTTTTGAATGAAAGTTAGTTGACTTTGGCGGATTTTATAACACAAATCGAATGGGAGTATAATTAGCCATTAAGATCAAAGCATAGTCGAACTGTGTGCCATCAGCCAACACGCATTAGAATGGAGGAACAAGTAACGTATCTAGAAGATCCCTATAAATCGGAGAACGACAGGACAACTCGTAAAAAAAGTAAAAAAAAGTGAGACGAGCCATCGAGACCCTATACTCAATTGACACGCTTAGATCTCTTGTGCTGGGCAATGGGCTACGAGCTTTGATCGTCTCGGTACCCTCGGTCCACATTGGTCAGGAGGACAAAAACGCCTCCTGTGCCTTAATGGTCGACCACGGTCCGTTCGCCGATCCGTGCCGCTACCAGGGCCTCTAATCTAATCTACTCTGCTCAAATTAGTTTTCTTCTTATATCGGTTCAACAAAATTAGCATTTTGTAGGTCTATAAAGTAAATAATAAATAAGCCCTCGGTCGCATATTGCAAAAAATTTCGGGCTTACTTTTGAAAGCAGACTTTAATTGCTACAGCATTCGTAGATTGCAAAAATTATATTATATAATCCGTTCCAAACGGCAACTAATTTCGTGAAAAACATCGATGACATCTGCCATCTGGTCTGAAAACGGGCGCCGGTTTTATGTTTTGTTTACTTTACAAGAATATGAATGTATTGTAAGAAAGTTCAAATAAATAATAAGTATTAAGTGGGCAACGCTGAGCTGAAGCACCGTGACCAGACCATGCTGGAGGCGAAGAAAAGAAAACCCAGCTAGGCTAGAGATTAGCCATGAGATTAGATTAGATCGGATTGGCATTTTCCACTCGCAGTTCAAAAACCAAAAGCCGTACCACTGGCTGAAGGACTGAATTTTGAAAATAAAATAAACATCTGTATTGAATATTAAGCTTTATATTTTTATTCAGCATGGACGGCGCAGGGGAGCGGAGCGGATCCACATATCATATCATATCATCCGCCGAATCGCCCTAGTTCTGGCAAGCCTCAGCCTTGTAACGAGCCAGTAGAGCCTCCAGTAGACACACCTCATTGGGATCCAGGACAGGCAGCAGCTTGAACACCATCAGCGTTTTCTGGCCGAAAATATGGTGAAGAAAGATTATCGGCAGGCGAATGGAAAAAGTTAAAGGAAGACTTTCTACATATATCCATATATATATATATATATATATCCATACCATACAATACAAAGTGTAAGGTGAACAACGCCATTTTTTGAATTGCTATTAATCTCCATCACTTTTCAGATGGATAAAGAAACTAAAGACCAAATTGCCGAAGCCGTTTTGCGCGAAAAACAGAGGAAAACTGAAAACTCTACTCTACTCCATCCGCCTCGAACCAATTAATAGTATTTAAGCGTATACCATACCCACTGAGCTTGAAAAATTAAGAACAAAATAAATACTGCTTGAATATGTATTTATGTATTGGTTACTTTTACTTAGTTTAAGTGCTAGTAGCGTGTCGTGTCGTGTCTCCTCGCTCCTCCAGCGACTTGTGGCACACGGCCTTCAGCTGCAGACAGGCGGGAGTTGGTGTGGTGTCCTCGTCCAGCACCAGAATAGAATGGTCTTCACACCCGCCCCAACGCACCTGAAGAGAAATTGACTTATTTTATTTTATTATAGTGATTATATGATGTGATGTGATTATAGTGTCTTAATATAATAATAGATAAGATATGATATATAGATATAGATATGGATATGTCTTGTCTAGTGTCCGGTGTCCATATTATTAGTGTCCGGAGCGCTGCCAGGTACATATATATATGCCTGCTGCTGGTAGGCCTGCTGGTGGAGTTGGTCCTGCTGGGGGGCCTGCTGCGGTTGAGAATGCTGGGGGGCCTGCTGCTGGTAAAGGTAGGGGTAGGCCATTACAATTACGTTGTGCCGGCACAGGCGCCTCAGAAAGGCGAGGCCGTCGTCCGCCATGCCGCCCATTTCGCCATGGTGGGCGGCCATCATCATCATCGATCACAAATGGCTGTTCGGCGCTCTTGCCTCTCCCTCAACGTTGTCGTACCGCCACGTGTACGGCCACCGACAGGGCCACCAAAGTGGAAATGTTGGAGTAACGACATCTGGAAATGAAATGAAAAAGGATATATTATACATATAGAGAATAAATTATATTTAAAACTTACGACTTTTCTTTTTTGCAGAAACGTGTTTTTTTGCTCCGTACCGTACCAGCTCCGATCAAAAAATGCGATCAGCCGCCGAAAAATCTAGAAGACGCCGCGTTGTCGACGCCACGTGGTCGGCTCAATTATTGAGCACAAAATAAATATATATATTTTATTTTTAAATTGACCTGCCAAGCTACATATCATATATTGTTGGATTACATTTCATTTTATTTTCATTTATTTATATTTTCTAGAGCGAACAAACTTTAAAGTAAATTTAAAATTACCCGCAAAGTCAGCCATTTATGTGGTCTCATTTTGAGCATTTTGCGTGCATACCTTTTTCACCGAGTTGGCATCATCTCATCTGATATCTGGTCACACTAATTTTTCTGCAAGCCGGCGCCTGTTTTTGTTTAGTGTAGTTTACTTTTCCAGAAGAGAAGATGGCCGATGAACCAGAACAACCAAAAGCCGACAGCCCTCTTCCTCCATGGGACGAGCGCCCATGGAACAAAGATCTGCCCGTTACATTTAGAAGTTGGGTTGAAGTGTATGGCCATGCTTCCAGTTGTTCCAGTTCTTCAAGTTCCGTGGTAAAGAGTAAAATTAAAGTAAACATCAACATATATTTTATACCGGAATCCGGATTCGGAAGATGCGAAAGATGCCGAAAAACTATGCTGAAAAGATCTTTAGGAGAGCACGAAAAAAGGTTCTGTGAATTTGGGCCAAAGAAAAGAAACTTCGCATGTCCATACTGTCAATATAAGAACGATATATTAGCAAATACGACGAGGAGCCTGTCATAATCTCCGGTTCGGACTCGGAATCCAGCAGCAGCTCGGTCTCCAGCTCCGACAGCAGCGACGACGACGACGACGAAGTTTGTAAGTACGAACCGAACATTGTTCGAACAATGTTTTACTGATTCATTTTTCCATAGATCAAGATATCAAGAAACTCTTTTGGCGCCGCATCAATGCCCCTGGAGCCCCCAAGTGCCATTGACTGGCTATGTGCGGTTCACGATCGAAAAATGCAAGGAAATGAAACGCAGTCCTGGCTGGCGCAGCAGGCAACGTGAGGAATGGCAGCGGCTTTCAAAGGAGCGCAAGGCTCCCTACATAGAAGCGGCCGCCAAGGGCAGAGCTGAGTAAGTGAAGTTAAGTTAAGTTTACAGTGCAATAATATTATATTCTATTCTATTCCTTCCAATAGATAAAAAAAAAAGATGTTCCGATTCTTCAGGAACAATCCACAAATTTTGAAAAAAGAGTTGGCAAAGCTGAAGATGCCAAAGATGAAAAAAACCAAAAGAAAGGCCACAGCAACTAAGAGGCAAAACGAGCACGCTCCCGACTCAGATGATGATGATTATGATGACATCCCAGATGACCCAGATGATGTCCCACTATCCAAGGATAAGGAGCCAGTCGCGTCTACAAGCAGACGTTTGTCCACTGAGAGTGTTCCTCCACTGCCTCTCAATACGCGCCGCACGCCGTCCAGCGCCTACAAAAATATCATGGACTACGAAAGCGACCAAATATGCAAACAAATCCGTTCGCGACTGGCCAGGTCGATCATCAAGGGAAATGCTTTGAACAGCAAGGAAATGCTGGAAGAGTGCTTCAAGGCGGAGACGAAACTGATACAGAAGGACTCTATTGAATTGCAAAATTTCCGCGCCTTTTTGGAGGATCATCTTCAGCTTGTCGACAAGCGTCCGTACGAGAAATACGAGAAATATTTCGGCACGTTAGATGCAAAGTAAATAAAATAGCATTTCGTGTTCTCATACCATACCATACTATACTATACTACTATATACTATATTATTCCTAATTGCATTAAAATGTAATAAAAATAGCTATGCTATGTAAAATTAATTGAGTTATGTAAATTTCAGGCCATATATATTTCTATGGAGAGACTTTGGAGCTAAAATTCGTTAACCAAACCTAAAAAATGGAAAAAATGAACAAAAAATACCTTTTTGAAGGCGGCGGGCCCAACTGCCAATTGGGAACAAAGCAAACGAACAAGGGTTGTACATTTGGTACCTGATCGCGTTCCTTTGTTCCCAATGCTCGATTTTGTCGAGTAGTGTTATTACGGCTGGTGCCACCAACGGTTTACATTTGCTGCTGTCGACGTTGATTGACTTCCAGGGCATTATATTTGTGGATGAGTTCACCTATATGATAGCCCTGGACTGCATGAAGCACTTCACCAGTCTGACCATTGTGCCAGTCAAGCTGAATGATGATGGGGTTAATCTGCAGGATCTGGGTGAAAAGGTGGCCAAGCACAGATTAAAATCGCAGAGCAAGGAGTTCTGGGGAATGTACTACACCATTCCGAACTACCACAACCCCACGGTCATATTGTTCTCGCCAGGTACGTCTGTCCTCAGACCAAAAAGTTTTAATTTTTCATTCTGTATTCTATTTTTAGTGGTTTGTCAAGGCTACTCTACTCAAGGGTGGCGAGGTCACTTAAAACCCATCACTAAATAATATAAATTTCCACGCAGCCTGCTTATCAAATCCAAGCAGCCCGGCCCGTAAAATTTCCACTTCCCTCCTGTAGTTTGAACTTATGGGCTCAGTTGGTTCCTCGCTGCGACCACAAACCATCGACATGTCTTCCAAGTGTGCAAAGTTTGTGGAGAACACAATTGCCAGCAACAAGGTGGTCATATTCAGCAAAACCTATTGTCCCTACTGCCAAATGGCTAAGGAGGTAAGTGGATTCATCTTCAACAGTCGCAGTACGCCACAACACAACTTTCTGTCTTCTTTTAGCCATTCCAGAAAATCAACGTGCAGAACGTAAAGATCATTGAGCTGGACGGCAATCCAGACGGCGATGAGATCCAGTCCGTGCTGGGTACGATTACAGGTGCCAGAACGGTATGTTCGATTTGATAATAAAAGTAGTTTTATTTGTAACCTTTTTTTGGTCAATATGCAGGTGCCCCGAGTCTTTATTGATGGCAAATTCGTTGGCGGCGGCACGGACATTGAACGGATGTACGATACCGGTGCTCTACAAAAATATTTTAACTAATCGGTGGTGCAATACTATATATACCTGGTGTCTGGTGTTAAGCTCGTTTTCATGTACAAAAATTTATTATCATGATTAAAGTCACTTGAAATAATAGATGCATTTACACTTTTTTAGCTAATATCGATCCAATCCATGAGTCGTTGCTCACGGAGGGAACTATTTTTTAGTCTGCTGTATGGAGGATATAGTGTCACCGAAGCACAGCACCAATGAAAGATTACAGTATAGTCGAATGAAATATATTAAGATGTGTATAACGCCATTCAGTTTGAGGGGAAATTGTTTTTCAGTGGAACATTTTATAAAGATTGAATGCTAGCGGAACCAGCCTAATCGCTATTATTTAATTCTGACAATATGTAGCTATTTTTCTATCCTGCGATTCAACATGAAAACACCTGAGAACAAATTAAACATAAAACATAATATATAAAACAAAAACATAAAAATTGTCTTCTGTTATCATTTTCTTGAATTCAAGATTCGGTCATACTGTTTAATTGGCTAAATTGGCTTAAACTTGTTGCAGCCATGGCCGATCTGGTGAGAGGAGAAGCCTCCGAATCCGATGAGGAAATGCAGGACAAGCACAAGGTGAATATTTGGTCAGAAAGGGGAAATACTTGTGTTGCTAATCTACAGCCTGCGATAATAGATTTTTGCAGCAGAGGTGCCTGGCGAGGCAACCGAGGATGATGACGACGATGAAGACATTTATGAGCAGAGAAGGAGCACCCATGTGCCGTCCAGCACAGCCTCGATCTATCGCAACAACCTGCTGCAGCGCAAACTAAGTACATAAATCGCTCACAAGATATATTCTCTTTCTTTAGAGTCCAGTCCAACAAAAGTCTAATATTTCTGGAGCATATGATCTTTACGGGCAGCAACCCGAATTCCGAGGAGAATGTTTTCTTTGCGCACGTGAAAAAACACGGCGGCCAATGCTCCTCGTCAATCTTTAGCGAGGACACGCTGTTCTCCTTTATTGTGCCCGATGAGCACTTCGAGTCGAGTCTGGACTACTTAACATTCGTTCTGATGCATCCCTTAATGCTGCAGGAGACCATGGACCGTGGACGCGGTATCGTGGACTCTGAGTTTAAGCAGGTGGCTAAAAAAGATGAACAGCGTCGCAACCAGCTGCTCGCCAGCCTGGCCACCGAGGGCTATCCGCATGGTTCCTTCAACTGGGGTAACATGAAATCGCTCAAGGACAACGTCGCTGACGACAATGTCCTGCACAAAGCGCTCCACGATGCCTGGCGCGATAACTATGCTGCCAATCGCATGTACGTGTGCCCGCAGGGTTCCCTGCCGATCGACGTGCTGGAGAGCATGGTGGTACGTCACTTTTCCAAACTGCGCCGCAGTGACATCAAAGCGCCCGACCTGACCAAGTTCGATTACCGCAACGCCTTCCGTCCGGCGTTCCACGAGCAAGTCTTCCTCGTCGAGGCCGTGGAGAAATGTTGCATGTTTGAGCTGACCTGGGTGCTTCCCAGTATGCGTCCGCACTATCACAGCAATCCGGATATGTTACTCTCCTATCTGATCGAGCACAAGGGAAACGGAAGTCTCTACGCCTACCTGGAGCGTCGCCACTGGGCTTGCCATCTCGACGCTGGCATAGACGAGACCGGCTTCAATCTGCACTCTATGCACTCCTTTTTTAAAGTGAACATTGGGTAGCAAGCACATCAATGAGGTGCTGGCCGCCACCTTTGCATATTTGAGGGTCCTCTCCAACGGTTCCTCCAAGGATTCGTTGCGTCAGCTGTAACGCTTGTAGCAGCATCTAGAGTGTTAGCGGGTGGCGCTCTCTGTCGGCCAGGGGAAGGTCAGGTGGCGCCCTCTAGGGCTCAGATTGGATGATCGGGTCAAGGAATTTTCGGAGGAAAAGAGAGTAACAGGGGCAAATGTCAGGCCTTTCACTCAGTGGCCCTATTAACCTTTTCGAGACCATGAGGTTGGCGCTGAAACGGAAGCGTCTAGCTCGGTCTTTCGCTTTTGGTCCCCCAGTCAGTGCAGTTGTGCGGAGTGGAAAAACTCCCTTAATTTTATAATACGCGTATACGCACAAGTAAAGTGCACAGTGACGGTGAAAAAGTCCAGAAGGAAAAGATTTATTTGGCGAAGAGGCGTTGAATTGATCTTGGCGCTCGTTAGCTGTCGCTGGGCACAGGCGACGCCGCAAAGAGGTGCCCTCAGTTGGACACTGGATTGGAGGATCGCTCCCGTGTCCAGGAGAAGATCAGCAGAGGAGTCCCGCTCCATCACCCATATAGGCGGCAGTTGACACGCGCAGAGCTCGGACGAGCCCATTTTTTTGTCTCCCTTGTGCCTCCCTATACGCCAAATACCAGCAGCGCTCGCAAGTAGCAGCGTAGGGGGAAAGGGAAAGAGGGAAGATTAGCCGAAGTCTTAGCAGGCAGAGCTAGTGCTCAGCGGATGGCTGGTTAGTGCCCGTGAACCTTGCAGAGAGCAGCTGCGTCGGCGACCCTGCGCTATTGGGAGCGAGGGAATCCGCAAAGGAATCGCGAGAGACCCCCGTGTGGATCCGGACGGCGGGTGGCCAGAGGCATACCAGATGCCCAAGAGAATTTCATTTTTTTTTTGTGATTAATTTTGTTTTGTGTGATTTATGTAACGTTTAGTTCAAAAGAAAAAAAATTGTTTTAAGCTTTAACGTTTTGGTTGGTGTCCCAGCAAGATTAGAGTGTTTTGGCAGTAAGCGATGAGAGCGAGAGGTCAGGGAGTGCGCGCTTAGAATATTTTCCTTCCATCTCGATATTTTTTCTCTCTCCCCTCTCTCCGTTAAGCAATACGTCGGTGAGAGCGCTTTTCGTCGATGGATTCCTGACAAGGGTGAGTGCTGTTATGGCCACATAAGGCTGCGTTTTTTTAACAACAGACCAAAACCAGCAGAAATATATTTATTCGCGGACATAATTAATCATGCGCTAGCCCATCCTCTGCCATCAAAGTTTACGCGTAACACTTTTTGCAAGCCAATGGTCGCAGATCGGGAAAATTGTCCTAACAACGATCAGCGGTTTGATCATTTATTCGTATTTATTCATATTTATTCATCCTTTGTTCTTATTTATTTATATGCGTTCATTTTATTATTTATTTCTCGTGCATATCGTAGTTTAAGTATGTTAGTAAGTTCATTTTTATAGAATTCAGAATATATTTTATAATGTTTTAATTCCTTTTTTATTTTCCTTAGCTAGCACCCTCCCCATGTAGGCGTCCCTAGGCAGAAGGGGCCATTCCATTTTCAATGAAGGCGGCTTGGAATGGCCAAGGTAGGGCGGGCGAGACGGTCTCATTAACACCAGAGACGGAGTCGAAACTCTTCGCAGCACAGTCCCTAGCTTTTTCTTGTATTCAGGGATAGGTAGTATCTCCCGGTTAAGTTTTCGTCGTAGCACGCTACTTCATTTTTGGTAGGATGAGTATAGGCCACCAGCATGAGGGGGGCAAGATCATCACCCCAATAGCCGACGAGCAGAAGCCGGAAACCTTAAGCGTGCGCTTCCCCTCGCTGACCAACAACTAGCCTGGCATAATTTGTATATTTGTGTTCATGAAACGTTACATTTATGAATTATGAAGATAAATCATCATAATTAAAAATTGGCGCCCAACGTGGGGCCACACCTGTTCAGGTGTGACACCATATATACTATTACATCCCTTTTCCATTTTCAAAAATTTTCCAATTCAGCAAAGGCGGCAGAGCCCAATATAGATCGTTGGATCTTGTGGAGCAGCTACCCAAACATTTGGGGAGCTGTGGCTGTCATTGTTGAATATTATCTTCTTTAATCAGCACCTAGTAAAGTGCCCATCAGACGATTCGGAAAACGGAAGAAGAAGTTTCGATTTCTCATCCGGCCACGTCTGAAGTGCATTACGAAAGTGCAATAATCTCAATTATCCCTACTTTTCTTAGGCAAGCTTCATAAGCATGGTCTTTCGGGCGCATAGGACGACAGAGGTAATCTCGTTTATAAACGAAACCCTGGCCACGTTTGAAAGTTGATGCAAGAGGCTTAGCCATTGCTTCTGATGAGTTGTCATCGAGTTGGACATACTAGGGTTGATCTTGACCAAAGAAATTCCCCAGGCCACGAGTGATATCGGAAGAAGCAGCCGAGACGTTTGCCCCCTTTTTTTTTAGAGTGTTAGCGGGTGGCGCTCTCTGTCGGCCAGGGGAAGGTCAGGTGGCGCCCTCTAGGGCTCAGATTGGATGATCGGGTCAAGGAATTTTCGGAGGAAAAGAGAGTAACAGGGGCAAATGTCAGGCCTTTCACTCAGTGGCCCTATTAACCTTTTCGAGACCATGAGGTTGGCGCTTAAACGGAAGCGTCTAGCTCGGTCTTTCGCTTTTGGTCCCCCAGTCAGTGCAGTTGTGCGGAGTGGAAAAACTCCCTTAATTTTATAATACGCGTATACGCACAAGTAAAGTGCACAGTGACGGTGAAAAAGTCCAGAAGGAAAAGATTTATTTGGCGAAGAGGCGTTGAATTGGTGAGCTGGTAGTAAGTTTGAGGCGGCAGCGCCTAATTCCATCGCTGTAGATCTTGGCGCTCGTTAGCTGTCGCTGGGCACAGGCGACGCCGCAAAGAGGTGCCCTCAGTTGGACACTGGATTGGAGGATCGCTCCCGTGTCCAGGAGAAGATCAGCAGAGGAGTCCCGCTCCATCACCCATATAGGCGGCAGTTGACACGCGCAGAGCTCGGACGAGCCCATTTTTTTGTCTCCCTTGTGCCTCCCTATACGCCAAATACCAGCAGCGCTCGCAAGTAGCAGCGTAGGGGGAAAGGGAAAGAGGGAAGATTAGCCGAAGTTCTAGCAGGCAGAGCTAGTGCTCAGCGGATGGCTAGTTAGTGCCCGTGAACCTTGCAGAGAGACAGCTGCGTCGGCGACCCTGCGCTATTGGGAGCGAGGGAATCCGCAAAGGAATCGCGAGAGACCCCCGTGTGGATCCGGACGGCGGGTGGCCAGAGGCATACCAGATGCCCAAGAGAATTTCATTTTTTTTTGTGATTAATTTTGTTTTGTGTGATTTTTGCAATGTTTAGTTCAAAAAAAAAAAAATAGTTTTAAGCTTTAACGTTTTGGTTGGTGTCCCAGCAAGATTAGAGTGTTTTGGCAGTAAGCGATGAGAGCGAGAGGTCAGGGAGTGCGCGCTTAGAATATTTTTCCTTCCATCTCGATATTTTTTCTCTCTCCCTCTCTCCGTTAAGCAATACGTCGGTGAGAGCGCTTTCGTCGATGGATTCCTGACAAGGGTGAGTGCTGTTATGGCCACATAAGGCTGCGTTTTTTTAACAACAGACCAAAACCAGCAGAAATATATTTATTCGCGGACATAATTAATCATGCGCTAGCCCATCCTCTGCCATCAAAGTTTACGCGTAACACTTTTTGCAAGCCAATGGTCGCAGATCGGGAAAATTGTCCTAACAACGATCAGCGGTTTGATCATTTATTCGTATTTATTCATATTTATTCATCCTTTGTTCTTATTTATTTATATGCGTTCATTTTATTATTTATTTCTCGTGCATATCGTAGTTTAAGTATGTTAGTAAGTTCATTTTTATAGAATTCAGAATATATTTTATAATGTTTTAATTCCTTTTTTATTTGCCTTAGCTAGCACCCTCCCCATGTAGGCGTCCCTAGGCAGAAGGGGCCATTCCATTTTCAATGAAGGCGGCTTGGAATGGCCAAGGTAGGGCGGGCGAGACGGTCTCATTAACACCAGAGACGGAGTCGAAACTCTTCGCAGCACAGACCCTAGCTTTTTCTTGTATTCAGGGATAGGTAGTATCTCCCGGTTAAGTTTTCGTCGTAGCACGCTACTTCATTTTTGGTAGGATGAGTATAGGCCACCAGCATGAGGGGGGCAAGATCATCACCCCAATAGCCGACGAGCAGAAGCCGGAAACCTTAAGCGTGCGCTTCCCCTCGCTGACCAACAACTAGCCTGGCATAATTTGTATATTTGTGTTCATGAAACGTTACATTTATGAATTATGAAGATAAATCATCATAATTAAAAATTGGCGCCCAACGTGGGGCCACACCTGTTCAGGTGTGACACCATATATACTATTACATCCCTTTTCCATTTTCAAAAATTTTCCAATTCAGCAAAGGCGGCAGAGCCCAATATAGATCGTTGGATCTTGTGGAGCAGCTACCCAAACATTTGGGGAGCTGTGGCTGTCATTGTTGAATATTATCTTCTTTAATCAGCACCTAGTAAAGTGCCCATCAGACGATTCGGAAAACGGAAGAAGAAGTTTCGATTTCTCATCCGGCCACGTCTGAAGTGCATTACGAAAGTGCAATAATCTCAATTATACCCTACTTTTCTTAGGCAAGCTTCATAAGCATGGTCTTTCGGGCGCATAGGACGACAGAGGTAATCTCGTTTATAAACGAAACCCTGGCCACGTTTGAAAGTTGATGCAAGAGGCTTAGCCATTGCTTCTGATGAGTTGTCATCGAGTTGGACATACTAGGGTTGATCTTGACCAAAGAAATTCCCCAGGCCACGAGTGATATCAGAAGAAGCATTCCCGTTTTGTTTGGTGTAGAGTGCAGAGCCGAGACGTTTGGACTACAGCGGTGTAGATAAAGCAGCAGCTGGCCACGGCTCGCGCTT